AAGTGTATTTTATCTGTTTTCAATACAGTTGCTCTTTCTTATGGTTACTTTGGTGTATCTTTTCCCATCATTTTAAGGGATTCTTAGCATCTTTTAATCTAGGGGTATCTCTTAATAGGCAACATATAAATAAGCTGAATCTCGCTTTTTTATCTGGTGTAATACTCTGCCTTTTCACTGGGGTGTTTAGACCATTCATATTTAATTCAAGTATTGATACGGTTGGATTTACATTTTGTCATTTTGCTATTTGTTTTCTATGTATCTTCCTTTTGTTCCTCTGTTCATTAACTGCCTTCTTTTGTAGTAAGTATTCAGTGTACAACCTAAAGTGTTCTGTTGATCTGTTGACTTTTTTTAAACTATAAAGTTATATTCTAAATAGCAGCTCCAGGATTAACAATAAGCATCTTATTAATTTACCATGATCTATTTCAGATTAATACTAAGTTGATCCTGATAAAATGTAGAAACTTTACTCCAGTATACTTTGGTTTCATTCCTCCTGTTTTTGTACTATAATTGTCTATTACATCTGTTAGAAACACAACAGACTGCTGTGTGCCTTTGGTCAACTTGCAGAGTTGAAATGGTTGTTTTTGTCAATTCTGACCAGTGTTATAGTTAACACTTTGTACAATGTTGTCTTTTAAGATGAAATGAGAAAAGATAATATTCTTTTCTATTAGCCCATATATTTACCATTTCCAGTGCTCCTTATTTCCTCCTGTGAACCGAAGTTACCAATTATCCTTTTCTTTAAACCTGCAGAACTAGCGGCTCTGCCAGCAATGGATTCTCTCAGTTTTTGTTTATCTGAAAATGTCTTTTTTGCCTTCATTTCTGAAGGACAGTTTTGTTGGACAGAGAGTTCTGTTGTGACAGTTTCCTTCTCTGAATACTCCGCCCTTCAGCCCACTTTGGGTTCCCGTCTTGGGCGAGAAGTTGGCCGCCCCCTGCACATGCTGCACACCACTCTAAACTGCATAAGCCTCTTCTCAGCCCAGCAGAGAAGACACTGTTCCTCACAGCCTGCCCATGGCCCTGCTGGCTGAACTGACAGTCTTGGACATGCTTGAGTGGGAAGGACAATGATTCTGTTAGCCAAGGTTGAAGACATAATGGCCAAAAATGTTACTGGAGGAGAAGCTCATCCAGGATGCTCAAAAAAACCTCAAATAGCACAAATACTAAGAGATGTATCCCTAGACCCATCAAAAAAAAAGAGAGAATCTTGTAAGTAGCCAAAGTGACTCAGCTCACCTCCTCACCACTGGAGCTGCAGAGGGCATGGGGGGGTCCCCAGGCCCCAGGCCCAAGACTCTTGGCACTCACACCCAAAGTCCAGCAGGTTCTTAAGCACAAACATGTCTCAGATTGTCATATGACTCCGATCAGTTTCCAGAGTGCTGAAATGGCTGATTATGGGGGTCAAATTTGTCTTGCTTTATAGTTATCCTGGAGGGAAAAGATTTGATAATCTCTCATACTCAGTCACTGCTGGAAGTTGCCCTCCAGCCTTGATTTATTTTGAAAATAAAAAGCACACGCATTGGGAGACTAAGAAAAACTGCCAAAGAAAGATGGGACGGGGGGCTATACAGGGGAAGAAAACTGATGCTACCCCTTTATCAGCCTCTGCATGCTGCAAATAACCCCTGAGCAGTTATAAAAAAAAAAATGTTGTATTTCAGTGCTTTCAATTCATCAGCCACTTACTTAAAGAAAAAGGAAATTTTCTCTCCTAGGAGAAACCAGAACCTCTCTCCATTCTTCAACATGCCCAAAGTGGGTCATAAGAATAAGACAGCAAAGAAAAATGAGACAGTTTTTGGGGAAAAAAAGCACAAATACTAAGAGATGTATCCCTAGACCCATCAAAAAAAAAGAGAGAATCTTGTAAGTAGCCAAAGTGACTCAGCTCACCTCCTCACCACTGGAGCTGCAGAGGGCATGGGGGGGTCCCCAGGCCCCAGGCCCAAGACTCTTGGCACTCACACCCAAAGTCCAGCAGGTTCTTAAGCACAAACATGTCTCAGATTGTCATATGACTCCGATCAGTTTCCAGAGTGCTGAAATGGCTGATTATGGGGGTCAAATTTGTCTTGCTTTATAGTTATCCTGGAGGGAAAAGATTTGATAATCTCTCATACTCAGTCACTGCTGGAAGTTGCCCTCCAGCCTTGATTTATTTTGAAAATAAAAAGCACACGCATTGGGAGACTAAGAAAAACTGCCAAAGAAAGATGGGACGGGGGGCTATACAGGGGAAGAAAACTGATGCTACCCCTTTATCAGCCTCTGCATGCTGCAAATAACCCCTGAGCAGTTATAAAAAAAAAAATGTTGTATTTCAGTGCTTTCAATTCATCAGCCACTTACTTAAAGAAAAAGGAAATTTTCTCTCCTAGGAGAAACCAGAACCTCTCTCCATTCTTCAACATGCCCAAAGTGGGTCATAAGAATAAGACAGCAAAGAAAAATGAGACAGTTTTTGGGGAAAAAAAACTCAAACAAATTCTGGAAACAGAATACTACACAGCAGTGAAAATGAATTACCTACTGCTCAACTCAACAGCATGGGTAAATCTCATAAACGTTACACTGAATGAAAGCAAGCAAAGGGCATAGCCTATATAATTTCATTTATTTAAAGTACAAAAACAGGAAAAAGTAATCTATGCTGTTAGAGGTCAAGAAAGCGGTTACCCTGGGAGGGTAGTGACAATAAGTGGACGTGAGAGGGCCTCAGGAGGGTTTCTTGATGTAAGCTACAAAGATGTGTTCAGTTTGTGAAACTCTATTACGTGGCAAGTGTGTACTCTTCAGGATGCATGCAATACCTCAATTAAAGAACAAAATGAAACTCTCTTGGCACAAGAATTTAAAATTGGCATGTTCATCTTACGAGACTCAGTGAATCTGAGGCAAAACAGCATCAGACAGCTGTGCCTTTGCATCTGCCCTGTGGGGGATTCAAAGGAGCAACCACACAGTGCTACAGGGAGGTTCCCAAGGGATGTCCCAGGCCAGATGCTCTCAGCAAGGTCCCAAAGACTACCTGTTTCTAACACAGAAACCGGGCCACTAACCTCAGAACAGGACTTGATCCTAAGATTCTGTCAAAATTTGCAACTGTACTCCTCCAATGAACCAGACAGAACATTCTACATGGGAACTCAGGGACATGCTAGTTCCACTTGATGAAACCTGTCCACTTTATGCACAAAGACAGACAAACCAAGATCATCTAGTTGAAATCAGGAAGTGTGATCCGACCCCAGCTCTGCCTACTGGCCACCAAAGCTAGGCTCTTTCCACACTCTCACACTGCTTTACAAAAGCCCTGAGGTGGCCTTGTCTGTAGGACCACCCTTGACCCATGTGCCTAGATTAATCTCTGTCCCCTGCTCCCTTGCAACCTTTGTGTGTCATAAGATATCACTCTCACTGACTTCAGAGAACAACATCCCATCCTCTAAGTAACCTTGGATTGGAAGCCAATGGGCACAGTGTGGAAAGTCTGGAACCAAGAGGCCCAGAAGCCAAATGCAGCCCCCCAAGTTATAGCAACAGAAAGATCTGGGTTTGAGTATCAACTCTGAGCTCCTTCAATATTCACTGGCATGCTCTGCAGCGGGGCACAGTGATCACAGGAGAACGTGCACCTGGGCCCAGGAGCACCCAAGGACCCCGACAGATGTCCACAACACGGGCTCCTCCTCAGCCCTAGACTTAACTTGAGATGCTGCTGAGGACCAAGTCCGAGGGAGGGAAAGGAGACCTAAGCTTACAGTTTTATTTCTGGAACTTTAAAAGAAGCCTCTGGTTTTAGAATGAGACTGCAAAAAGCAGAGCCAGACAGAAAAGACCTTTCCGGGTAAAGGGAATACAGAGCATGTCCCAACCTGACTATGATGCTTGCCCGGTGGGAGTGGGTTGGATTTTCCCATTTATCTTGAGGAGATAAGAATTTTAAAAGTTGAGAAATTCCAGGCCAGATGATCTCTGAACTCCTTAGGATCCCAACAGTCTGGGCTCCCAAAATGAATACAAAGACCACAGGCTGAGGCCCCTCTGTGGGGTCAGTTGACTCTCATGGGAAGGAACCCCTAGCTCTGCACCTGACACCCCCAATCCAACTCCAGGCAAACAGACATGAAGTGGAGTCTGGGTGGGGGGAGAAGCTGTGAGGGAGATGACGGATGGGCCAGGGAGGAGCTGTAGGGCTGGCCCAGGAGCTGTGGCCATACCCACAACCCCCATGGTGGGATATCTGGCTCACACAGGACATCTGGGTGTGAACACTCTGGACAGAACAGTTTACTAAGGGAATGGTGATGGTAGGAGCTAGGCCTTGATTTCTCTTTATAGGAAGAAAAGGTTTCTGAAGAAATGGGGTGGTTCGTTGAGTCTTCATTCTTTCGAGCTTTTTCCTTAAGAACCTCATAAAAGCTAAGGATCAGAAAAGTTACTCCTGAAGTGATTGGTACTGACCAAGAAGAGCACAACACAGCACGTCACGGAGAACCCAAGCATCCCCGCCCTCCAGAACACACTGCCTACGTGAAGAGGTGCACCAGGGCTGGGATTCCAACTCTGCCCCCAGACAAGTGACCCAGGCAGGGCACAGCAACCCTGACCCCCCAAGCCCCAGATCTGAGAGCAAGGAGATGTGATTAAGTGAAAACCCATTTTCCTACAAATCAAAAACATCAAACTGGAGACACAACAAGTACAAGTTTGGCGGAGACCTGCTGTTGGCAGCGGAGCTGATGTAAAATACCTCCCTGTCCTGTGAGACCCACATCCCATGCCATCAATGTCCGGGCCCCAGTGGGGACAGCTTTTGGCCAGGATGGCACAGTGATGCCAGGGTAGGAGCCCATGGCCATCTCCAAGTAACCCACCAAAAACTGCTTCCTACAGGCCTACAGGGCAGCCTCGCCCCACCTTCTCGGGCCCAGGCCTGGCGCCAGTTCCAGGCCCCTCCCTCTCACCTGTGTGTGGTGCGCATGTCCACAGGCCCATCGCCCGCCTGCCCTTCGCCTCTGCCCATGGCCATCACCTCAGCCCCCCTAAGCAGTCCTTGGGCTGGGCCCGCTCCTGGCTCAGGTGTCACCCTCATGTCCGCATCAGTGTTTAAATCCGAAGCCAACAATCCTCTCTCCATTTTTATTTTCTTGCTGTCCACATCGTCCTCCTCCGGGTCCCGTTCAAGTGCTCTTTTCTGACTCCGTGTTCGGCATGCTTCTTCAGTCATTCTGAACTTTGGGAGAAGGAGAAAACATTTTAACATGGCACAATGAGGCTGCTACCTTCTTAGAAACTTCTCAGGGGGTCAGCTGGGAGTGTTTTCCTTGCCATGTGATGATGGCAGTAGATACAACCATTGTGGGGCCCACAAAGTATGCCCATGTCATGTCTTCAGAGTCTTGGGGAAGGCTGGGGCAGGAGCAGAACATCCGGGGCGCTGAGGCCTGTGGGGACGTGGGTGGGAACAATGGGAGGGGCTGCTTATGAGACAGAAGGAATTCTCTGCGCCCCAGACTCAAAAGCAAATAGAGCAAAACGGTTCTAGATATGAACTCCCCTGCCTGTAGGATTCTGAGCGGCTGCACTGGATTGGAGGCATTGAATCCAGGAAGGGGGACCACACTGCCTGCGGCCCCGCAGCTGCACTGACTCAGGGTTGATCCTTCGCCTCCCTTTCTGTAAGGGGCTGCTTCCTCCCTCCGGCTGACCTCAGAGGGGTGAGGAGTGGGGGCGGGGTTGGGGTGGGGGGTTCACATTTAACCCTTTGACTGCTGGCAAGGTAAACTTTGAGTGAGGTAAGGCCTGGCCCACTACCATGCCACTGCCCTCTACCTGCAGCACACACATATCTTGATTTAAAGAAAGAAAAAGAAAAAAACAGCTGAGTCAGTTTTTGATCCCATGACATCACTGGGCTCCACATGACCCTTCCCAGGATTCAGTTTGAGAGACAAAGCACTTTCCAGAAAACCAGTCTGAACCGGTTCCAGACAACAAGCTCAAGTGTTGTTAACCCTCACTGAGACAGGACAGACGACAGCGCAGTAATGTCTGTCTGCAGGGAGGCTGCTGGCATTCCACAACAGAGTCTGGGACCTGGGTGCTTGCTCTTAAAGGGGCCACTCTGAGCCTGGCCTCAACGTCCCAACAGGGCAGAACATGGGAAATGAGATGCCAGAACATCCGGATGTAAAAAGCCAGGCCAGAGTTCACTGGGGCCCAAAATACCATTTCACTGCAAGGTTCTAGCTTAATTCCCAGGGTGCCAGTTCTCCACAGGGCAGTTGGTGCCCACACCCACCAACACAGAGCCGGGGAGGAGCCCACTACATGAGCTCCTCACCAAGTGTCAGGGCACACCTGTGGCGCTGCCCACCCTGGAAGCCTACCGGCTCCATCTGTGTCCACGCAGGTAGCCTCCTCACCAGCTAGACTGGACAGACCCAGGCCAGCAGTCCACCTCCCGGGAGAGGCTAGCAGCAACAAAGCGGCCAAGGGACACGTGCTTCTGAGCTGACTCACTGACAATCTCTGTAATGCAGCTGATTTCACAAATGAGCAACAGCAACGGGCCCTGCCCCAAAGGGCCCTTTCTGGACTCAGACAACAGATAAAAAAGTGACAGCTGCTCTGCGCTCCGTGAGCAAAAGGAAGGGTGACCCGTCTGCACATGTTAGGCCCGCATGGCCTGGCCAGAGCACTCATCCATCTGCTCCTCAGGCAGGTCCCCCCATGGCCATGTCACCACTGGGGGACCGAGGGTGGGCCAAGAACTCTGAAGCTCAAAGGCCCAGGCCACCCCTCAGCCTCCTTGCGCCCCTGATCCCTCCTGGCTTCCCAGCCTGTGCCTGGCCACCCCAAACCACCCTGACCCTCCACTCTGGCCCGTTATCTCCCAGTCAGTCCTCCACCACCTACCCCAAGGGCAGCAAGGGGAGCTGCCACATCCCTCAGCCTGGGTTCCCATGGCCTCTGTCCTCCCACATGCCCTGAGCCCAAACCCCGTCAGCCCCCTCACTGGGTCTGCCAAGCCTGCCTCCCTGTGAGCCTGCAGATGAGCCCACAAAAGTCGGGCGTCCCCCGCACTGTGGGAGGGGTGGGTCGTTTTTCCTCAGGTTGACGCCTGAAACAGCAGCTCCTCATTTGGGGAACTGGATGACAGGGCAACTGGGGTGGCAGGGATGGCAGGTACATGTACTCCCAGAGCCAGGGAGGAGGCTGGTGGGGCAGAAGGTGAGGGAAGCCAGGACCTCAGGGAAGGAGGGCCCTTGCTGGAGTTCAAAGCAGTTCTGTCCCGACAAGCTCCCAGCATCACCTGGTCCCCACTGCGGAGGGAGGCTCCGAAGTAGACGGAGAGAATGCACTGCCACACCTTGATGCCGGACCCCCCAATCCTGCACTGACCCCTACATGCTGCCCCACTCTGCCTCTGCGCCAGCCTGGAAGCCCCTGAGCAGCCTTCAGCCTTGTAAGCCTCCAGCTCCAACCCATCAAGTTCATCTGAGCCCCAGACCTGCATGAAGTCCTTCCTACCAACTGCCCACATGAACGGGGGTGGGGGAGAGAGCCGACAACCACGTTGCCGGGCGCCTGGTCACCAGACTGGCAAGGCAGTGCCCAAGCGACCTGAAACAGCAGCTCCTCATTTGGTGAGTGCAGGACAGTCACAGGGGCCAGAGCAGAGCCTCACAAGCACAGGGCTGCTCGCTGCAGGCCCAGCGACGACTGCGGCCTTAGGGCCCCCCAGCATCCCAGCTCTGGCAGCTGTTGGGGTCCCCAGCAGAGGGCCCAGGAGACTGGCTGTTTGTGCTGTGTGTGCAGTGTCCAGGCAGCTCATTCTGAAGCTGAGAGGCTGGAGCTCTGCCAACCCTGGGCCCGGAACCAATGGCTGGCCGGGCCTCACAAGCCTTGCGCCTCTGGCGGGCCACTTGGTGGGTGGGGGAACACGCCTGCTGCCCTCCTCCCCCACCATGAAAGACAAACGCACCTGGAGGGGGTGGGGCTGGCTGTGGGGATGGCACCTCGGGCTCTGACCTTCCCCTTAGGGTGGTGCCTTCTCCACAGAGAGGCCGTGCAGCAGAGGCCATGTCGGCCAAGACCTGCCAATCTCAGGGACTGCAGGCCATTTGCTCCTGCTGGAAGGCCCATCAGAAAGGCCCAGTGCCCCCAGCACATCAGAGCTGGCGGTCACCACCCTGCAGGCACAGACCCAGTGAGAGTGACAAAGTTCTCAGGAAGAGACCAGCTTTGAGGAACGAGTGAGTCTGGGGAATGAAGCGTGACTGAAGCCAGGAGGAGGTGCATCACAGCACTTTCCAAAGAGCAGGTGAAGAGGCTGCTGTTATTCTGTACCAACTGGCAGATTAGGATCTGCTTCAAAATTCTGGGCAAGTAGTGGGAGGGGAAGAAGGGAAGCAGCAACAACAGCAGAAGTTCGGCCACAGCCCCGCTAGGGAACCTGGCGCACAGGGAGCAGCCCCCTCCCGCGCTGGCTGCTGTCCAGGAGGCCCCTGCGGCCACAGGCCCTCTGTAAAAGATGAGGCCACCAGGGCTGCGCGGCTGGCTGAGGCACAGGGCTCCCCAGGGGCAGGGCTGAAATGCAGGCGGTCTCACCCCTCCTCCTCACTCTCCAGCACAACCAAGGTGAGCAGGGCCTACTCGGTGCGTCCTCCGGGCTCCTGTATGGGCATGTGGGGTGGAGATGGGCCTCGGCGAGGGGTCTTCCTCCGCCCCTAGGAGGGCAGGTTCCAGCCACCGTAGAGGCAACAGGGCCCAACGTAGACCAACTCCGGGATGATGGGGCCACTGAGCTCGCCTCTACCAAAAACTTCTTTATTTTGGTAAAATGCCCTGTCCAACTAGTGTGGGAATCTCGGGTGGAAAACCTGTCCCAGAACAACTCCAAAAGGGTGAATTACGCTGTAGTAGGAACTCAAATTTCTGAACAGGACTCAGGAGACCAAGAGAAAGCACATGGCACACAGGTCGGGCACACAATGCCAGTAAACATCTCGATTTAAAAAAAAAAAAAAAGTAAATAGACACAATCACAAAGCCACAACCCTGAGGCATTACCCACTTATACCAGGAAATGCGGTTCATGCTACTCTGTTATCAACAGACCAGAAGGAACAGCACCAGCAAACTCTTGTTTCAGGCAGGAGGAAAGTGAGGCTTAGCAGTCCACGCTGGGAGAAGGGGCAGCGCCAATGTCTCTGAGAGGTGGACTTGGGGTGCTTTTCCTGGAGCCCTGAAAAGGGAGTGTGAAGAGGTGGGGAAAGAAGGTGCTAAATGTAGACTGGCCTCAGGAGGAGCACAGAGGGATGTAGGGGGAGGGATCGATTTGTCACCTGGCTGATGGGGACAGACTGGGGCAGGGGCGGCAGGGGGAGCAGTTGGAGGCTTCTGGATCCTGTGGCTCAGAACGCAGTGGGAAGAGGGCTGTGGGAGACATGACCAAATGCTGGGTGTACTGTAGAGGATATGGACAACACAACACACCAACAGCTGAACAGGAGGCAGAAGGGGGCTTGCTTTGTTGTGTTTTTGCCTGAGCAACTGACTGATTTTCTGAGATGAGGAAGAAGCGATCTGGGGGAGGAAGGCTGGGAGTGGGTTCGTTTGGACAGGCTGAGTTGAGCCATCTACCAGACCCCACGCTTGGGGAGCATTTGCTCTTAGGTGCAGGCCTGCACATACAGCAGCCACCGTCTGCCACTGTCCTAGGGCGGTGTGGGCCACCGTTCCTGTCCAGAAGGAAGAAGGGCCAAGAAACCGACACCAGACACTGGCCTCAGCAGCCCACTAGCCAAGCTCCACACTCTTGACACACAGGTGACTGAGCAGGAGCTCCACTGGGCAGCTGCACAGCACAGGGGGGGGTATCTGTGCCCTGGTGGTTCCGAGGCTCAGGCTGTGCCACCTCGCTGCATGGCCTCTCGTCTCCTGCCTGGACCCAGGAACCCCCTTTACCCTTCCCAGGACAGTACCCTGAGGAAGCTTCAGAAGTCCTGGACCTGCACCGCTCTGTGGATCCCCCACTTTTTGAGTCAAACCCAGGTGCCTGGGGCAGGACTTGGGCAGAGAACAGTTGAGCTGCTCTTAGGTGCCGGCAGCCCCTAGCTGACAGACACACATCTTCCCTTCCAGAGCAGAGACCTCAGTCTGCTCTGGCAAAGCTCCTTCCTGACACATTATCTAAGTGATAGTGGTAGGGATGCAGTGGCTGCATTC